AGAATAGAAATGAGCACATACCCTACTTTTCAAAAGGCACAAACGGGATTTTTTATAAGTTGCCCTGCTCAGTGCAAGCCCTCCTTTTATGATCTTTAGCTGCTGCTTTAGAAGTCCAAACAGCGATAAAGAAATTTCTGCTTCCCATACCAAATTTAAACAGAATAGGTCCACTATTCACAATAGGTGAGCTACGGAAACAAGCCAATTGCCCAAAAATATAGATGACTGGATCAAGAAGATGTGTTCTATATATACAATGGAATATTACTCAGCAACCAAAAAGATAAACTCATGCCATTTACAGCAACCTGGATGGAGCTGGAAGGGATCATGCCAGAAAGAAAAAGAAAAATATCAGGTGGTTTCACTTATAGGAGGAATATAAGGGACCCAAATAAGAGATCAGTTGGCAAAATAGTAATTATAACGAAGTAAAAATCAAAAACAACAAGCAACTATCAACCAAAGACATGCTTTGGGGGTGGGGGAAAGAAACTTGTTCAAAATGGGTAGGAAGAGCACAAAGTGCCATGGAGATGGTGCACAGTTGAATCGGTGTTGGGTGCTCCTTGGGGACCATACATGAGTGCATAAAGCATACAATGTATGAGAAAGAAGAATGATGTAAAAAATAAGTAAATTTTTGGCCCTCCCTGGTGGCGCAGCGGGTTAAAGCACAGCACTGAGAATCTGAAGCCACTTCCGTATGAGTTCGATTCCCGCCTGCCCCGGAGGAGACCACATGGCGTGGCAGACCTCTCCTGACCCGCCCGCTGCTCCCCTCAGCAGTGTACTTCATCGATCTGCCTGTTCTGCTCCCCACTCTGTCTCTGGTGAAGCCTCTCACCGCCCCTGAGCCTCTGGCCTGTACCCCAGTTCTGTATGAATAAATAAATAAAAATCTTTAAAAAAAAATTTAAAAAAAAAAAAAAAAAAGTAAATTTTTTTAAAAAGGTAAAAAAAAATAGAATAGTTTTCAGATTATTGTGAGTTCTGTTTCCTATCAAGTACTGCAGGGGGTGTAATTTACATTGTATTCTTTGTGAATGTAGGTTCACCCCAACCTCACCTCCCACCCCCCAAAACAAACTGCAATCCTGCAGTCTGTTGCTAATGGAAAATGAGTGGGTATAGGTGGAACCATGGTTGCTCTGCACAACAGAGTATGTCAAGGTAGAATTTAAGAGGATTCATCCTCAGATTTGGAAAGTATTCATGCATATGTGACTTTCATGATTTATACAACCTGTGGGGTAAGTAAAGAAGACATTATCTTTATTCTTCAGAGGAGAAAAATTGGTGCAGAAAGGTTAAGTGACTGCCCTAAGGTCACACAGTCAGTTTGTATCATAGTATAAACTAAAAGGTTCTCTGTAAATATATAATAAATACGTTTATCCTGTGAGATAATTAATAAAAGCACTTTAGAAACACTAATTCATTTTGGTGTTTGATATCAATCAGCCAGCATTGGGCCATATGTGAGCACAACTTCATAATTAAAAAAAGAGAAACTTTATACTTTGATATGTTAAGATTGTGGATACCAGAGAATGGAAAGAAAGTTTATAGATTTTATAGCATTCCCTACTGCAGACTAGGGACCCCTTCTTAGGAATAATATTTAGTATGTTGTAAATCGGTGACTCCTTCCAAAAAGATTTGAACATGGTTTAGATACTTGAATTTTCATCTGATGAAAGTCAATTGAGATTGTTGTAATTGTTCCATAGAAATCTACTTAATTTGTGGTTACAGTATCAAGTTACCAAACATGATGATAATTATCCTAAAACTCATTAAGAAAAAAAATCCATCATTGTCCTATTTTGTCTCCTTGAAATGGCTCATTATGTTCAGAATAGAGCAAAACACATCAACATTTTATATGGTGTACCTTTAGATATAGTTGATTGCTCGCTGTAAAAGGATTTGAATCAAAGCCAATTTGCCATTCACAACTGAGAGAACTCTAGGGACCTTGCAGAAAAGCTCTTTGTTGAAGTGAATTCACACAAAATAATGTTCAAAATTGTTACTTTATATTCTTCCATTGCGTTTGTCTATCAAATATCAATGGTTGAATCTTCCAACTAGCTTAGGGTTAAGACAGGTAAAAATGAAACTGGATATTGAAGACACCTAAAAATTCTTTAACTGAACTCAAATTACAGACTAAACTTTGTGGTTTCTTTTTATTTAAAAATTGGTGACACATAAATATGGTAAAAACACTAAGATAATACCAATAGAGCATGTTGTGAATGGTGACTTTTCCTCCCACCAGTTTCTGTGTCTCCCAGTCCCCATCCTTGAGGAAATGATTGTTACTGGTCTCCTGAGTATTTGTCAGAGATCATCCAGACATATTCAGATGTTGAGTTTACAATGTCTCCTATACTTTCAGAAAGGAAAATAGCAAAACCACTGTGTTAGTCCTGATGTTGTCCCCTGCCATTTGTATGAATTTGTGACAACTTGTCTCAAGCACAGAATTCATATTTAGAAGACTAGGTCATAATTTTAAAAATGACTTAATTCTGTTGGGAGGATTTTGAAAGTTTCAGAGAACCTACTTAGAGTTACTTGGAAATAAATTCAATAGAGGTAAGTGGGGAGGAGAGAAGGCAGTACAGTGGAAAAATCTTTGACAAGGAACTTTATTTAAGAATAATAGCTCAAAACTTTGTCTAGCTTATTAATTGCATTTGGGTTTGTTTGCTTTTTCTTTGAGACCACATTGACTAGGGTTACTTCTAGACAGCACTATGAAATAGGTGGTTAGAATCATTATTTAACAATCAAAGGGAATATGATTCTAGCTTCAGAACTTATTAGCTTTGTAGCTTTGGGCAATTTGTTTTTACACAGTCTCAGTAGCAATAAACTAAGGATAATAGTATACAGCTCATAGAATTAGGGAAGAAGTTAGCACATGACAAATGTAGCTATTATTGATTCAGTATAATCCCCCCTAAAATATTGATGGCATCTTCAAGTAACTGGAACAAAACATGAAATTCATATAGAATCACAATAGCCCTAGCAATCCTGACCGAAAAAAAAAAAAAGGAAGAAGAAGAAGAAAAATGGTAGTCCTATTCTTCCAGACTTCAAACTTTATTATAAAGCCACACTAATTGAAACAGCCTGGTACTGGAGGTAAGGCAGAAACAAAGAACAGTGGCATGGCATAGAGAATTTGAAATTAAATCCACACCCACATGAATGGTTAAACTACGACAGAGCAGCCAATGACATACACTGGTACAAGGATTGCCTCTTCAGTAACTGTAACAGGAACCCTGCAGAGCTGCATGCTAAACAAATGAAGCTAGGTCACTGTCTTATGCCATACCCAAAAATCAATTCCAAATGGATAAAAGAGTTGGATGTAGGCTTGAGGCCATAAAATATATAGGAAGCATAGACAAAAAACTATACGACAGAAGCTTCAGCAATGTCTTTAGAGATGCATCCCTACAAGCAAGAAAAACAAACAAACAAAAAAACCAAACAAATGGGATTACATCAAACTAAAAAGTTTCTGCACAGCAAAAGAAACCATAACTAAATAGAATGACCCGCTATTGAATAGGAGAAAGTATTTGCATACCTTATATTTTGACCAGAAGCTGATGTCACAGATCTGCAAAGAACACATACAACTCAACAACAACAACAAGAAACCTAAATAACCCAATTAGAAAATGAGTGGGAGAGCTAAATAGGCACTTTTTCAAAGAAGACCTACAGATGGCCAACAGGCACATGAAAAAATATTCATCACTTATCCTGAGGGAGATGCGAATCAAGATCACAACACACCTGTAAGAATGACCCATACAGAAAAGACCAGAAGCAACAAGTGCTATCAGGAATCGGGAGGGCCTCCCTAGTGTCTTGGGGGTTAAGTCTCAGTGCTATCACAGCTAAGACTGGAGTTTGATCCCAGGCCTGGGAACTGAACCCACAACAAAAAAACAAATGTAGCTGTTTCCAGTGTTTCTTGAGGGTTACCTGTGTTTCAGAGATGGTTGAGATATGTTAAATATATTTGTGTAGTCATTATTTTATTAATTCTATATAAAATCATAAATGTGGAAGTGGTTTGAAACTATAAAAACAACTCACATGTCCAAAATAGATGATTGGATAAGAAGATGTGGCATATATAAGCAATGGAATACTACTCAGCCATCAAAAATAACCTGCCATTTGTAGCAACATGAATGGAGGGATCATAGAAAGGATCATACTCAGTGAAATAAGTCAGAAGGAAAAAGAAAAATATTGGAAGGTTTCACTTATAGGAGGAATATAGGGGAACCAAGTAAGACATAGGGGAAAAAATAACAATAATACAAAACACAATACACCAACACAAAAGCAAACAAACAGCTATAAACCAAAGACATCCTGTAGGGAAGGGGGAGGGAGGAGCACAGGGAACTGTAGTGATGGGGAAATTGGGGGAGGAAGTTCTATGGGGGCTACACGAGGGGGGAGTAAGCACTGTTTTAAAATGAACAGTGATATAAAATATACATAAAATATATTTTATGTAAACGGGCTGCCTAAATGTACTTTTACTTAGCTTAGTCTTAATAAACTGATAATGTTTTCTAGTCTGTTATTCTGATTGAAATCATGATTATCTTCATTGAACAGATAGTCGTTTTGAGTTTTCTTATCATCCTTGTCTCCCAGTGAAACGGACACATTTCCTATTTCAGATAGATGCCCTAGAGACTAGACATCCTAATACATGGCTTACTGAGCTTCTGCTCATGGTGGGCATAGTAGTTAAGGGCACCCCCTGGCTTTCCTGGGGCCAGAGAGCGATTTAGATATGTCAGGAAGTCCCATCCAGCATATGATTTTCACATGAAAAGACTTAGGGAACATTTTGTTTTCCTTTGCTCTGAGAATAAATTGATCCTCTGTTCCTGCTACTGTGGCTTTAATTTAATACATGTATGCATTTATTTCCCCAGGCCTCTAACCCTGGGCAGTTTGAAAATGACAGTGATGCATTATGGCAGCGAGGACACGTTCCAGAATCTGTTGTCTGTCATGGTCGAGTGGGAATAAACACAGATGCACCGGATGAAGCCCTGGTTGTCTGTGGCAATGTGAAAGTGATGGGGAGCGTCATGCAGCCCTCTGACAGCCGAGCAAAGCAGAATGTCCAAGAGGTGAGCACAGGGCAGGCCTCAGGCACCTCCTTTGACACCTGAGCAGGTGGGTAGGGTGCTCCTGGTCTCTGACATTCCCCACATAGGGCATTTCGCATGTTGCCTGTTGGGGTGAGACGAACACACTGCTTAACCACCACGACTGTTGGAACTCTTAGGCATCTCTGCTGAGATTCTGCATCAGCTCCTGCTGAGAGAATGGATTTACCTGACAGGAGCAGTGTGCTGACAGCACAGCACCACTGCACAAGTAGGTCGTCCCTGAGTTATTTTCCACAGGCCATTGCCCTTCCTCTGTGCATTGTCAACTGCTGGCGCGTGCCTTTTTCCTTTCCTCCAAATTTCTATCTCCCTGTTCATCTTCCAAACACTGTCAGTCCAGTTTCTGCACGCATTTCTCCTGGTCCTCTCCAGTGTCTTACTTGGCCCACCCGAAGGCCCAAGGTACAGGGTCAAGACCATCTTTTCTAGGGAGAGACAGTCACCAATTTTCTGAATTCCCCCCCAAAATCAGAAGCTGCACCTGTTTTGAGTTCCTGCACTTTGGGCTCTCTCTAGTAACCTGACCTTGGATAAAATGTTTAGCCCTGCCTCCTTATCTGACTGCTCCTATACATTTTAACCCATTGAGATAAGTACTGAGTGTCTTGGAAAGTCACAATTTACGAAGACCTTAAATATTAGGGTTAAATATACCAGTTTCTTAATCGGGCCACTCCTGACTTCAGCCTTTAATTCCATTTCCCACTTGTGACCTCTATAATTTCACACCCCCTCACGAACACTGTTTCTCCCATAAGTGTTTTGAAATGGTGGCAGAATCATGTTTTTAAACCTGCTTTTGCCTCCTTTCCGTATTCTTTTTTGGTTAATGAGACTTCATCTGTTAATACTTGGCCATTCTTCCAGACTGCATTCCTTTCCCAGTGCAAATCTGCCACTGGTTTTTCTAAACTGGTCAAGGAATGTCCTCTTTTGCTGAAAGGATTTCAAAGAATGGTTGTAACTGTAGACTTTTATACTGATTTTGAAACTGCACTTCATGTCATAAGAGCTGTGACCTGTTGGATTAGCCGGGTGGGAACTCTTAGGGGTAGAAAGTTCTCACATACATTTCCAGATACTGGTCATAGATATCATGCATTTGCCTTTTAGAGAGAGATAAAATGTCTGCTTTTCAGATCACACCAGCTCACGATGCAATTCCATGCCAGGTCTTATCTAAATGTAGATAGAAGAGGACCAGGGGAAAGGCCTTCACAGCAGCACCCCCCAACCCCCTCTGCCACCTGGCTCCCCAAGAACCTCATTCACCATTCATTTCTTCAAACAGTGCTCCTTGGTTTGAAGAAAGTATATGGTCTTAAATAAACAGATTCTCCAGCACTGCCCACATCCCTTCTAGGAAGCCTTCTCCAGATAAAAGCCAACCCAGACTTCCTGGGTGAAATTCCTATGTCCCCTACCTATGCAAAGCATGTAGAATTAAGAGAATACCAGCCTCTGCTTAGAAGACTTGCATTTTAGTGGTGATTTTGGCAACTTCTGGCCCAGGAACTTTGGCTTAAAGACATTGTATGTCTCCTATAAACAGGAAATACTCATACTCATTTTAGCATTCATTTAAGTGTTCATTCACCTAAGGTTTTTTTCTAAACTCATACATCTGGAACTTTTTTTTTTAGTGGAAAAAGGCTAGGCAAATATTTCTTGTTTACTTGTAAAAAAAAAACTATAATTAAAAAAAGATTTATTTATTTATGCATACAGAACTGGGGTACAGGCTAGAGGTGCAGGGGTGGTGAGAGGATTCACCAGAGACAGAGTTGAGAGCAGAACAGGCCAACTATTGAAGTACACTGCTGAGGGGAGCAGCGGGCGGGTCAGAAGAGGCCTGCCACACCATGTGGTCACCTCCGGGGAGGGAATCAAACTCATGCTGAAGTGGCTTTAGCTTCTTAGTGCTGTGCTCTAACCTACAGTGCCGCCACCTGGGAGGGCCCCTGAACTATAATTTTAATATAAAGCACTTTTTAAATTATTTCATAATAATATGTAGTTGTTCTGTACATTATTTCATAATAGTTTAGCTGTTCTTAATGGGCCTATGCACATCTATGAAATACTTGTTTCTAAAAATCTTTCCTGTCCTATTCATCATCCATTACAGAGAAGAGAGATGTTAGTGAGCTGATGCTAACAGATGTGTGAACTTACTCTCATCTGTCCCTAACTCAGTTTTTCCAACTTAAAGAGAGCCATTCTTCCATTGTGAGGGGAAGCTGGATTCGATTATATAGCTAGGACTGAGAGCAATTTCTCAATCTTTAAGGAAGATTGATGCTTAAAAAAGAAACCAAAAGATTCAGATAGCAAGGCTTATGCCAAGCCCACCAAGACTTAATGTCCTACCTTACTATAGTTTCTGCCTCTTACCAAGTAGAATTGTAAACCAGCCAAGTATGGAGTTTCCTAGTCAGTGCTGGTGATGTCCCTCAGCAAAACAAGAATAAGAACCCTATTGCTTTCTGGAAAGAAAGGTGACTTTGCTGTAATAAACTTTCTTTTCTTTTGCTAATAACCTGTTTTACTCTTTTACCCTGAAAACCACCCATTGTCTGTCACTGCTCACGGGATCTTTACACTTGCTAAATGGGATACTGCCCAAGTCTGAATTGTTGAGTAAAGACAAGATATTCAAATTTACTTGGATGAATTTTGGTTTTTGACAACAGTAGCCAGACCTGGTTTCTGGATGAGTTGTTGCAAGATATCATAGTCAACCATGGTACCCAGTATGTGAGTGATGGAGAAAAGGAAGCAGGTGGCTGTCTTGCCCCGGCTCTGTGTCCTTTCACTGCAGGCTGTCTTGGTTGTTTTGTGGATTTTAAGTGCATGAGCACTTTGCTTGAAGAGGCTTGGTGGAGGAGACCTCTAGTGCTCATCTGCACACACATCCAACACAGAGGAGATAGAGTAGATATGACTGCAACCTGTGAAACTGAAGCCCTGGGGAAATGAAGTTAGCCTAAGTAGGAGCAACTTAACTTACCCCCACAACAGTATTGTGTTCACTAGTGTGACTGCACTGGAGAGGGGGGTTCGCCTCTTATGATGAAACAAAGCACGGAAAGGATATTCTGAAAACCAAGGTGGTGGGGAGACCATCAATGGCAATGAGAAAAACAAAAACAAAGTTAGGTTGAGAGTTGAATGCTTCAGTCAAATACTGTGGTGAAGGCTGTAAACAAGACAGCAGAAGACTTAAAAATAAAAGCCAGAGATGAAATCAGTTGAGATGCGGTGCTCAAAGATTGTCTTGGTGCTCAAAGATTGTCTTGTGTTTGTCGGAGCTGAACCAGCAGTGTGCTAGTTAAAGACAAACGTGTGAAAAGCTTGAGAAAAATCAAACATGCGCAGTCTCCCCTCAGGGCCTGAGACTGAGGCAAGAGTTCCCAGCTAAGCATGAACTGCGTAACTTAAGCCGCTCCTGTTGTGAGACTGATAGTCCCAGGGCTGTGGGCCAGACAGTGGATAAAAAGATCTCCCTCCCTGACTAAACTGGAGCCCCATGGACCAAAATGTCTTCCCTGCAGTGCAGTTTTTGAATTAATGATATGAAACCCTTGGGTATGATGTGGCATCCGTTGATGGCCATTTGCATTCACAGTGAGATTTTCCCAAACTGCTGTGCGCAAGATCATACCAGGAACCCAAATCCGTTTTCTAGCTTTTTACTAAACACGTTGGTGAGCGGAGCATGAGTTAAGTGCTGACTTGTGGAGGTTCCTGACGGAGAATTCCAAGGAGGCACAGCCCTTGCCTCAAGGGTTTCTCCTAGGCCAAGAGCACACATGGGCACATGCAAGAAAGGTCTCTTATATTTACCTTTGGAATGTCTGCAAACGAGAATGAGAAATCGGAAGAGCATTTTCTTAGAGGAGTATTATTCTAAAAGGTGTTTACCCCTAAGCCAACTCCCAAAATACTCTTTGGCCAAAAAAGCTTTCTGAAGTACAATGGCAGTAGGGCTCTTGGACCTAATTACTATGTCTAATGACATTCTTGGGGAAAATGCATCCGGCTTTGACACCAGGACTCATTTTGGCTCTGTAGCCTGGACAGCCCGAGTGAGAGCAGCCTCCTCTGCTTTCCACCTGCAGCAAAGGAGCTGACACGGCCTCCCTTTGGTTGCCAGTGGGGGTTCGTATAGGAACTGAGGGAATCATAGGCCATAGGCAAGCCCAGGTCTTGTGGCAATGCAGGGAGTGGGGAATTGTGTGGGCCTGGCTGGTGCAGGGCGGTCCAGCTGGCTCCTGCGTGACTCCATCTGCACTCCGGTTAGTGTCGGGACTGTTCTGTCATCTCCTTTTCCCTGCCTCCCCTCACCTCTTTTTCCCTCTCCAAAGTAAACATTGCAGAGATGCAGTTCTTCACCCCCAAGATAGAAAGGGTGCCTTTATTTTTCATTCTTAGTATTCTTTTTTTTTTAAAATTTATTTATTTTATTCATACAGAACTGGGGTACAGGCCAGAGATGTGGAGGGTGAGAGGCTTCACCAGGGACAGAGTGGGGAGCAGAATAGGCAGATCAACGAAGTACACTGCTGAGGGGAGCAGCAGGCGGGTCAGGAGAGGTCTGCCTCACCATGTGGTCACCTCAGGGGCAGGCGGGGATCGAACTTATGCGGAAGTGGCTTGAGCTTATTAGTGCTGTGCTTTAACCCACTGCTCCACCAGGGAGGGCCATTCTTAGTATTCTTCATTGAAGCTTTTGGGTGCCAATTGTTACCTTGCAAAGTGTCTAAAAAGAACTGTCATTGGGGTAGACCCTCTTCAATGGCTCTAGATCTGGCCACCCATTGCCCTAAGTACGAATAAACGTCTTTGGTGCAGAATAAAGAAACCATGTATTTTAACGAACAGGTTAAAATAGGTAGGGGATGAGGGAGAACTACCCAGGTAGAGGGAGCAGGAGAAGGTTCAGTTACCAGTTGATGTTGCAGCTAAGGAACCAGCAATATATGGCAGAGGTCTCTACTGCTGAGGTTGGGGATCCCTCCTTGGGTGGCAGGGGGTGGGGGGGAGGGGGGTGGGGGATGTGAAGGTCTGCAGCCTGTTTTGTAGGTGGAATGCTGCCTTCTGCAGCAGCTTTGAGGAAAAAGAGAGTGAGCCCGTGTGCATCACTCCCTGGTAAAGTCTCCCAAAATGGCTGCCAGCACTGCCTGCTTCCCAAGTGTGATGAGTGCTAGGAAGGAGAAGAGCAAGTGCCATTAGCACACACGGCAGCAGTGAGACCCTCTCTGTCTTGGAGGGTCAAGAATGCATCTGCAGCGAGGCAGTGTACTCTAGAGAAGAAAGGGGAGAGGGAGTGAAGAGCTTCCACGGTGGGGTCACAGAGGTCCCAGTGTGAAAGTTGCAGAACATGTTTGAGAACTGAAATAAGCCAAATCTCTGCTGGGCTTTCCCCTCCTAGGCCGCCTTCTTCATGCTCCCCTACCAGCATGCAGGTGTCTCCCTGGTTCTGTTCACAAGCCATCATCATGTGTGTGGCTCACATCCCAGTATCACTCAGCGTAGCCCATGGTATGTTGAAGGTGGTTGATAGTTGTTAGGCGAATGAAACAGTGAATGAAGGAATTGAACTTTGGAGAAGAGCAGTCACCAGAAGTACTGTGCAGTCCAACTTTTACTCCTCAGTAAGGACCTGAAGCACAGCTGGCCTGTTTGACCAGCTGAGTCAAGCCACAGCTAACCGGAAGGACAGTCTGCAGTCATATTGGAGGAGTTTTCTACTTACCTGACAGAGTGGGCAAGGAAGGGGTTAAGGACCAGCGCAGGGATTTTCTTTTTCTTTTTCTTTTTTTTAAAGTATTTATTTATGCATACAGAACTGGGGTACAGGCCAGAGGTGCAGGGGCGGTGAGAGGCTTCACCAGAGACAGAGTGGGGAGCAGAACAGGCAGATCGAGGAAGTACACTGCTGAGGGGAGCAGTGGGGGGTCAGGAGAGGTCTGCCGTGCCATGTGGTCACCTCCGGGGCAGGCGGGGATCGAACTCATGCGGAAGTGGCTTTAGCCTCTTAGTGCTGTGCTTTAACCCGCTGCGCCACCAGGGAGGGCCTGGCAGGGATTTTCTTAAATGAGCACCAAGATGTTTTTGTTCTAAAAGAAAATTTAGGGGATCCGCAAAAGCTCAACAACTTTTTACTTGTCCAATAAGGTCATTAAAAAAAAAAAATCTTGACAGTATCACCAATTTATTTACATAGATCAATGGGGAATTCTTTGAGCCAAACACTTTCAGCCTTCGGAAAAATTGACACTATTATCTTTCTTATTGTCATTTTACTATGTTATCCTTTTGGGGCCTGGCGAAATTATTTTCAAGGAGTTTGCATCATGGCTGGGAACATCTTCCACTGTCTGTCAGAGGCTGAGCTCAGAGGAGAATGCCGTGGTTGGCAGGGTGGGCGGCAGGCATCGATGGGATGGGCAACTTTTCATCTTGAAGGAGCTGCAGGGGGCAATCTGAGCTTGCAGTGTCTCCCTTGAAGGACTTTCCCCCAGCAAAATGTCCAAAAAGGTTGTTTCTTGAATTAAGCATGGCATTTTCAATTTATAAAGACAAGGTGGGCCATTTTTGTGTGGTTTATCCCACTGCACCTGCACTCCTGAGTGACTAGTGCCTCTCTCCAAAGTGAGTCGCCTCCTACCTTGGGAGAATCCCCTCTCTGAGGGGAGCAGAAGGCAGGAACTGTGAAAAAAAGCATGTTTGCCCTATCATTTAGACAAAATTTTTTGCTCTTCATTTAGTCAATGGTTGGAAGTCGCCGACATGAACCTTAAGGCTTTGGCTCCTCTGAAGAGAAAAACAACTTTCTCTTAAAATAGTTTGGCAGGAGAAAAGGCCAGTCTCGCTGCCAGCATTTCCTAATCTCTCTGGGTCACTCTGGGCACTGATTTGAATTTGCAAGTATCTAAGCAGTGAAATTTGCTCTTCTGTCATTAATTAGGTTGACACAAATGAACAGCTGAGAAGAATAGCACAAATGAGGATTGTTGAATATGACTACAAGCCTGAATTTGCATCTGCAATGGGAATAAACACGGCCCATCAAACAGGTACATACCAATTCCCTTTTAAACCCTGGGTTGTCAACTGTTACGATTTTGATTTCCACTGTATAGGGAGGTTGTGTGCTATGGCATTTGACAGCAAACTATCAGTTCAACTCACCCTCTGCAAAATTCAAAATCACTAGAACAGGAAAGATTGAAGAAATTTCTGGGTTGTCTTCATTCAGCACTCCTATACCCCATTCCTGTATCCCAAGGTCCTGGTGGAGTGTTTTTTTTTTTTTTTTTTATTGTTTTCTTTTAATGCACTTCTTTTTTACTGGAGTCCTCTTGTTCATAGGAGGAGGGCTCAGGTACAGAAGTAGGGGCATTGGGCAACTCTGGGTTGGAGAGGGGGCAGCAGAGGTGGGTTGAGGTCAGAGAAGGTATGAGAAAAGTGTTTAAGCTCCAGTCCAGGAATCCTAAAGAAAGAAGCACTGTTATTGGAACAGCCCTGGGTCCTGTTGCCATCTGTCACTACAGAAAGCTCATGAGCAGAAACAGGAGTTGAATCTCTCAGCACTTTTATTTTTTAGATCACTGGCTGTTGATCTGAGAGATCGGTGGGCATAGCACCCTAACGAGATCATTCTGTCATCTCTTCTCAAGCTAGCATTTTTATGAGTTAAACAATGACAGTCACAAGCAAACAATGCATCACAAATGATATTTCTAGTATTCTTCTCATTCAGCCCGCAGAACTTGCTATCAGCCTCCAGGTTATCTTGACCCTGCCCATGGTGTCAACGCCCAGCGTAACGTCGGGCATCATCAGGACAGAAATCACAGTTTAAAGCAAGAGTTTTAGTTTAAAGAAAACAGGTCATTAATCATCTAGTGTGTAGCCTGTGCTGGGTGTGTATGTGAGATTCCTCTGCTAGGTAGGCACCCTCCCTGCCTCCCTCCCAACCCCTAGCCTTTTACCACAGTTATACTCCTGACAGCTGTAAGGCTTATTTAAGCTTAAAGAAATTTAGGGCGGGGGGGAAGGGATTGTCTGTCTTCAAAGCAGAAGAGATGTTGCTGTATCAGGACCATTTAAAGGACCGTATCTTCCTGTTGAAAGAGATAGGAAATCAGACCCATGTCCTATCTTTCTATGTGTTCAGGATTTCAAGGCACTTCCTTGTCCCTTCCAAAACCTGAGGCTCAGCGTCTCAAAGAAATGTAGAGAAAGGAACACCCTCACCTTCAATCCTATAGTGTTTCTTGACTCATGATTTCTTTACTTCAAAAGCATCTCAGATCAAAGCAGAAACAGAAGGGACAAGTATCTTTGGGCAAAGACATCCTGTGTGACTGGCATATTCCATTCGTATGTAAGCATGAGCAGATTCTCTCCAGAAGGGTCTTTTCCTGATTAAACCTGTTGGAGTGCTTTGTGTCTAGGAATGATTGCCCAGGAGGTGCGAGAGATCCTGCCCAGAGCCATAAGAGAGGTTGGCGATGTCACCTGTGAAAACGGAGAGACGCTGGAGAACTTCCTCATGGTCGATAAGGTAACCACTGACTAGATACCACTCTAGCTAGCACTCACCTGTGCCACTGCCACTGACCCCACAGGAACCCAGGGCATCGCAATGCCCCGAGACAACCAGCCAGGAAACAGTCCCACAGAGGGAACTCCTCCCTGAGCAGTAGAGTAAGTTGGCATCAGTGACCCCACATTGGTCATCGGGACCAAAATGTAGTTGCAAAAGGGAAAAAGCAATGGAACATGCACCACTAAGCATTTGCTTAGTGGCTCTTCATGTGGGAGGGAAACTGGCCCAGGCGAAGCCCCAGAGAGCCTTGAGATAGGACCATCCACCCTGAGGAATAGCGACAACACCTTTCCTTAGGCTTTGTGTTAAAAATGGCAGTAGAACTTCAGAAGAGATCACTTGCTTCACAAAAAATCATTTAAGTTACCAATGAACTCCTTCTACAAATGATGAAACATCCAGGTGTTGATTTTTTGGGCAGTTTTCAGCAAGTTCTGTGTTTGACTTTCACAAACACATTTACAAAGATATTCACCGGCTTTATTATCTTCCCCAAGCGCCTGTCTTCATTCTTTGATATTCAAATCATTCTCTTTTGAAGGACTGTCCTCAGCCTCCTAGATTAGCTCCCCTTTGGGTGTTCCTTGGCCTGAGCCTACAGTTGCCTCTGGTGCTCTTGTGTGTGCTTTCAGGCACTCTGACACCGTGTTTATGAATTCTGTGAACTTCTGCAAACTCCTGCTACTGATGATTTGCTTTCGGTTGTGTTATTACATTTGACACTTGCAGGGAAGACAGACTGACTGACTTGGGGTTTGTAGTTGTAGGGAGGGGTCTTTGAGTGGAGACTAATTTGTAGCTCTTCAGTTCTTGGGGACAGTGTTTCTTGAACTTCAGGTGGACGCGAGTCACTGGGTACCTTGTGAAAATGCAGGTTCTGATTAGACAATAATGGGTCAGAGCAGAGACCCGACTTTTCTAACCAGCTTCCAGGTCATGCCAGTGTCGTCGGCGCTGATCAGCAAACCACAGATATAGGCCCTTCTACAGTTGTCCCGCTAAAAACTCTCAGCAAACAAATACTCAGATAATAGGGTCTAGACAGGCTGCCAGGGTCCAGTGGCCAGGCGAGTGACTTCTAATTCCCAAGCAATTAGATAGAAGAGGTTCTCTAGTCTCTCTCAGACCTAGGTTGTCACTTCACTTGAGAGGTAGATCAAGAGAAATTTATTTTTAGTAATAAAGTACATAGTGAAGTTTTCCAGTAATTTATTTAAAATATAAAAGTTTAGGTAATGGGGTTTATGGATATCTTCAGTTTTTTCAACTTTTTTTTGGTATGCTCAAACATTTTTGTAATAAAACAGTGGGAAATGAAGTCATTGTTCCTACACCTAAAACTGCAATTTAAAGATTGTGTCAACAGGTGGTGACAATGCTTTGAAAATAAGATACGTCTGTTTGCTAACCCTCTGGTTTAGGAACTGGAATTTCATGCTGCATTTACCAAAATGGAATTTAGGTAAAATGGTGAATTTATGTCAAAGTTTTCAAAGAGAGTGCTTAAAGTAATTCTAAAGAAGTGAAGCTTTAAAGTATGGGAATCCCTTTCTGATGAATGCTAACTTTCGTTATCTGGAAGGTCTGCCTCCTCGGTCAGAAGCCTTCCTTCCTGTGGGAATAGCTTCCATGGCCCACATTTCCTAGCACAGGCCCCTGAGCTCAGCCTCAGCCCCTCAGTCTGTCGCAGGCCTTCCAGCTACTTAAAACTGAATGACGGAGCTAAAGAGTGAAGAAACCCAGTGCTATATCTCAAGTGTAAAGTCATTTTCATTTTTCCCCTCCAGATTTCCCCCCCTTGTCTTTATTGTTGGAACTTAGAGCTGATGTTCATTTTGCTGCTTTATTTTTATTTTTTTTATGAGTTGCTTTATTTTTAAAATAATATAATAGTTTACTTTTACATCATTTTGTGCCTTTTTTCCATCCCAGTTGTAATCACCCGTGTGCCATCACCATAGTCCCATACACTTTCCCCCACCTCGTTTTCAATCCCATTCCCCACTCCACCACCGTAAATTATCTCTGGTATATAGTTGTTCATTATTATTACTATTTTCCCCCTTGGTCCTTTATGCTATGCTATGAGTGAAGCCATCCGATATTTTTCTTTTTCTTTCTGGCTTATTTCACTAAGCATGATCCCTTCCAGCTCCATCCATGTTACTGCAAACAGCTCCATCCATGTAACTGCAAAAAGCATGAGTTTATCCTTTTTGACGACTGTGTATTATTCCCTTATGTATATGTATCACATCTTTTTAATCCAGTCATCTACTTTTGGGCATTTGGGCTGCTTCCATGTCTTTCCTATTGTAAATAAAGCACATTTTGCTGCTTTTTAACTTTACAACACCAGCCTCTGCTATTCTCTCTTCACCCCCTCCTCCTGCCAACCCTCCTTCTCAACACTGGCAGGAACCCTAATGTATTTCATATATATCCTTGGATATAGACTTTCTGGAATAGTATCAGTGTTGGTTTTTAAATATGTGTTAAATTTATCTGAATTACATACAGCTGTTTGTAGCTTCTAATTGATGCATAGAATTCCTTGGCTCATCTCCTCTCATGCTGGACCACTTCCAGTTCTGTTGCCCACAAACTATTCAGCAATGACCATTGTCACACAATGCGAGTGGTGGGAGGTTTTCTCTGGCACATATTCCACAGTATAGGAAAAGCACAGTCTTAATTTTTTGAAATAGTGCCCGATGTTAGTAAGTTTTAACTCATAACAGTGGCAGATGAGGCTTACTGTTTTTCAATACCCTCAACAATGCCTGGCACTATCAAACTTTCTAAATTTTGCAGTTATGATTGGGGTAAAGTGGTATTTTACCATTTTAACTTGCCTTTTTTCTCATTTGTAATGAAATTGTGCATTTCTTTTAGCTCTTTTAGCTATTTCAATTTCTCCTTCTGTGAATTGTTTGGCTAGTTTTCCAGTGGATTTCCTGTCTTTTTTAGGATGGGACTGTTGACTTTCCACTTGATGCTACTGTTTCATTCTTTCTCAGTGCTCTCATAAGTAAAGCTCATAGATCAAGTCTCTAGTAATGACTTAAGATAGTGACAACTATTTTCTTTTGTAATGCCTGATTGGCTTCATCCTAGTGTTAATTACAATTTAAAGCTATATTATTATTTGTGGTTTGCATGTTGGTCAGTTTCCTTCACTAGACAATATGTTCTAGAAAGGCAGTGATTCTGTCTACCTTACCTAATTGTTTATCCCTGCACTAAACAAAGTGATTAGCATATCATAGGTGCTTGACAAAGAACTACTTATTCTATTTTTTAATTGAAAATTGAGTTACACTTGCTAGGATTGTAGGGAGTCATAGGCCACAATGACCACTCTTGAAAAGAGCTCTGTGGTCACCTGGGGAGAATAAGAATTACAGCAACCCTTTTTCTTTTTGGCTTATTTCACTGAGCATGAATGTAGAGAATCCAAATAAAGGGTCAAGAAAAAAAGAGTAATTATAATAAAGTAAATTTCAAAATCAACAGGCAACTATAAACCAGAGATACTCTGGGGGTGGGAGGGAGGGGAATAAGGTAAAAACAGGCATGGGAAGAGCACAAGAGACTAATGGTGATGGTGCAGGGCGAACTGGTGGTGGGAATTTCACGGGGACTATAACTGAGATGAGAAAGCACACATTGTACAAAAAGAAAAATGATGTTAAAAAAAAAAAGTATTACAACAAACCATGACATGTACTGGTTCGACTAGAAACTTGAATCTCAGTCTAAGGACTCAAGCCCGTAAACATACACACAAATGTACTTAATCAGAAATAGCAAGAATTTGAAAGCAAACAAACAAACCATAGAACACATAATTTTAAACAGTTTTGTGAAGCTAGAGCTCACATAAGGCAGATGTCAAACACAGCATCCAGGGAAATAAGTCCAAGCCGCGGACCCTTTGCAAGAGAAATATGCCTGTGATAGCAACTTCTCCTCTAGGGACCTGTTAGAAATTCAACTGGAAGTCTGAGCTTCCTTACCATTGCAGCAGCCTGCTTTTCTGGTTTGAGGATTCCGTGTTTTTAAAATCCATGTCAAGACCTGATGAGTGATCCACAGAATAAACTCTTGGACTGAGATCTAAAGCTGAGTTTATCCAAAGCCCAAACAATTGCCAGACACACCCATTGGCTGAAAACAGTTTCTGTCCCTTTGGCAATCACTTTCACAATGCTCAATTACAGGCTATTTTATTCCCATGATTGTATTATAAAATGTTAGTCCATGCAGCATCAGATGCACTAGGACAGATTTTCATGTCTGTGACTCTCACTGAAAAGAAATAAGAATCCGCTTCAGTTTCTCAAAGCATTCTTTGCCGTCAGGCTTAGTTATCCTATTCCGTGTTGTTAGACAGAGGAAGAAAGAGGCCAAGTTATCGTTTCCAAAGAGGGAGAAATCAGCTCCCTGGCCTGGCTGCTTCTCAGTGTTGTGGCTTATTTGTTATTAGACCTGAGATAGAGCTTCCAAACTGTTTTACCGAGTCCAAGGGTTTTCTAGGGGCTGAGGTGGGGGACCCGACGGATTTTCATCAGTTTCCTGACAACCCAACCCCCTACCAAAGGGAAAAGAATCTAACCAAAGTGGAAACCAGTTTGCTGGGTATAGTCAAATCTCTAACCCAGTGAATTAAGGATGTTAAACCTCTTTGTTTTGTTCATCTGAATTTCTATGGACATTTCCTAATATGGAAAGGGAGTTTGGGCCTTTGTCTTTTTTTTTTTTTTTGGCTTTTTTGAGAGAAACCTCTAATAAATTGAAGTTTCGCTGCTCTCTTCAATTCACTAGGAGCAATGCTTTGGGACCTTATGGCATGGATCACCATTGTAAGAATAGTCATCAAATGTATGCTGAGTTACTGCTCTGAACCCGATAATTGTGGACAAAATGGGGCCCAGTGTCCAGGGGTTTATAATAGGTAAAAATGATGCAGTATAAGGAAGGTCAGAGGAGGCCGGCAACAGGCAGTTTAGGTACAAGGAGCAGCTGGCTCAGCTCCATTGGCTGAAGAAATCATGACATGTCCAGCGAACAGGTGGTTCAGTAGGAGAGTGAATGTAAGGGGCTGGGGCACAAGATGAGACTTACAAAAGTGATCCACTCTAAGCTCAGTCAGGACTGATTTCACAAGTACACGTATCTTTTCTTATGCATGCATGGTTCACAGACTGTTCCTTGGTCCTTTCAGAAAACATGCTCAAATTGTTCCTGTGTCCTCTGCTGCTGGGGCCGTGTGGGTACCTGGGTCTGCGGGGCTGTCTGAAGTCTCAGTCTACAGGTGTTTACCTGGCCCCTGGGCATGCCAGGAGCCTGGACAGCATAGTACACTATTGTGTGAATGTACCGTATGTTATATTTATCGAGTTCCCTATTGCTGGACAGCTAGAGTCTTAAAAAAACTTTTAAGGTTTTGCAGTTGCAGGTATTGCTCAATTAATAGCTTTATGGACTTATTTTATTTTTTTTAACCTTGGACCAGAAGATCTGTGGAATAGATTCCTAGAAGTGGAATTAGTGGGTCAAACAAAACATGCACAATTTTATTAGCTATGGCCAAATTCTATTTTACATTACTTTTATCAATTTGTGTTGTTCGGATAGCTATTGAAAGACATTTAGGAACAATAAAGCATTTTTTGTATGGGTTTTAAAAACCTAGTACAGGAATGTCCTTGTGTCCCATACTCTGCCTACTTTGTTTCTTTAGAGCAACAATAGGACTAAGTGACCAAGCTTCTTGTTCAGTTTGCTTCCTCAGAAGGAAAACTTACTGCTTTGCTAAGGTGCTAACTCATAGCCCCTTTTAATTCACTTTAGTACATTCTTTTTGAGCTTTCATGTGGGGAATGTATGTGCTAACCACTGGTGCGATAAGCAGATGGAGACCATAATTGCTGCCGTTGACAAATTCATGATCTGGGTGGGGAGTGACATAGTACAGGTCTGATAGGAGAAAAATGGCCAAGTGAGAGCAGTGAACATGCCTTGAGAGCACTGTGGGAATCGGGGCGTGAGGGGAGTCTTCTGACCAGTGGCCTCTGGGAAGGTCCTTGGTACAGGAGGATTTGCATTGACCTTGAGGAAGAGCAGGCATTTCTATTTGAAGAATAAAGACTCTATTAGAATAAAGCGTTGGATACTGTAATTGCAGAGTATTCTGGGGCTTCATTTAAATCTGTGTGTCTGCTCAGAGAGTTTAAGAGTCTTACAAATCTGTCTTTGAACTGCATGAACTAAGCCTTAAGTCTGCCATGTTCATTTTTCAAGGCCTTTCAAGGTTGCTTTAAAGTGTTTGAAACCCTTGAAGTTTTGGCTGCATGGTGAGAAACTCAAAGACGTGCATTCCTGAGTTTGACCTCTCAGGTACAGAGCAGTCTTTCTCTTTGGCCCCTAGCTCATCACTTTGCAACACTTGACCAGCCTGTAGGAGCCCCAAAGAGTGGTCACCGCCTTCTGAGCCTGTCAACCCAGAGCAAGAATAGGGGAGAGGTCCTGGGGCTGAGGTGCGTGTTAATGAGCACATTCAGGGTTTTTGTCAAGGCTGAGAGATAGCCACACTTGTTTGCAGGTGTAGGGGAGGGGAGGCAGGGATGGCCAGGGGATTCTGGCTTTGCTTGCTTTCCCTATAGCCCATATGACAGGTTGTGAGTTCCTCTGAGCAAGAAGAATTGTGTGGTTGCTTCAGCTTTTTGTATGGGAGTTAGGCTAAATTATAAATGGTGTATATGGAATGTTAGAGCAGAAATCAACACCTAATGAATTCTCCTCACATATACCAATGAAAAACTGACGCTCAGGAAGGTTATTCTGTGCTACTTGGGGTGTTTGTGGGGTCTCACATCTAGCAGTAGCAGAACTCAGAGGGGGGCCCAGATTGCCCTGCTTCTCCACTTTGCCGGAGCAACCTGATGCACATTTGACCAAGAAGTACCGCAGTCCTGTCCTAAGGAGTTGGTGATGCATACACAAATCAACGTTCAAAGCCTGTTCTGACTTTAGGAGTTTTAAATATAGCATAATGGCCACTGAAAATCAATCTTGGGATTCCAAACTTGACAATGTCCTTCAGCACCATTCTCGCTCTTGGGTAACAAAGACATATTTCCATTTTATTGCAAATTGAACGTAAGCAATTTTACTACTCACCAGCACTTTCACAAGGCCATTTTAAATGACAAAAATCTCCAGCTTTATTTTGAAAGGACTGGAAATGTGTGAGTATAGAGCCATTTTCAATGGCGGGTCTCAATTTTCTTTGAACGGGTGGTGGATTATTCCTGGTAGTCTCAGACTGGACATTGATGCACACTGTATTATTTTCATTCTCTAGGACCAGATCTTTATGGAGAATGTAGGTGCAGTGAAGCAGCTCTGCAAACTAACCAACAACCTTGAAGAAAGAATTGAAGAGTTAGAAATCTGGAGCAGAAAGCTGGCCAGGCTAAAGCGGCTGAGTAGTAGCAGGTCCTCAGCCAGTGGAAGCTCCCTCAGGTATCGCGAGGCCTTCCCTAGAAAACTGGGAAGCGGAGAGCGTGGGGTCTGTCTTACTAGGTTGGTCTGAATGGTCTTCTTGATCCAGCAGCCATTATTTTCTATGAATGAGGTCCCGATTCTTTTTCAGAATGTTTTGGAACCCAAGTTCCTTAGGTGATAATTTTCTTATTTAATTTTCTGTTGCTTTAAAAGGAAACAAAACATGATTCCTGTTTAAGAGCAATTGTTCTAAGATGTGCTACATTTTAGCAGAAGTGTGGGTGGGTGGGCTCTCCTTGAACTAGCAGAAGTGGCTATTTCTAAATTTATACATGTTTGGTCCTTAGGGAAATCTTAATTTCTTAAATTACTTAAGGAGATAGATGCATATTAATGTTGACTAAAAGAGAAATGTAACATCTAATGCATTGATTTATGCTTACTACTGTACTTTTCCACAAAAGTAACACTCAATTGCCTTGACTTTTCCTTTTTGAAAATTTTCACTGTATTACAAAAGTCATACTGCTCTTAGTGACAAGTTTGGCTTTGTCACAGTAACAGCTGGAGAAAAATTTCAATAGTAATACATTTACACACTCTCTTTTTAAAGCAAATTTAGCAGAACTCTTAGTGCATCTTCAACAGGAAGGACCATTCCCAAGAAATCCAACAAGGTAAATCAAGTATATGTTTATACCTTATGTTATAAATTATATTCATTAAATTTATAATAAACAGAGACTATATTTTCCATAAAGTCTTTAGAGAAACTGATTCAATTTTTTTTCTTTTATTTATTATGGGGTCCTTAGCTTGCATCCTTATGTACTTTTGGTTTTTACTAGCTATTAACTAGTACCATGCCTTCACTAGATATTAACTGGTTTTACACTAAGAAGTGAAAAAAAAATTCATTTTCAGATATATTATTCTGCCAGGTTTTTAAAATACTGCTCCCCTGTACATGTGACCCTGGGCTGCAAGATATGTGGATTCCTCCTTGGCTCAACTTAATGCCTTATCTTTGGCTCCAGATTATCCCAAAGGGTCTTGAGTTAATCCTCAAATCCCTTTTTCCCTTTGATATTTAGTACCATGTATATAAATGGAAAAATAGGTATTCACTTAGAAAGGTTAAAATGTGATGATTTTATAAATGAATAGAGAGGACCTTCGTCATTTGTATAACTATACAGTAGAAAGTGGATAGTAATCACTTATTAACTTAAAATACACCCTCTCCACCAGAGAAAAGTGCTGGTGAGGGAGAAGCTGCCTCCCTCCCTCCCTAGGACTAGTTCCTAGAGAGCTCTGATACTCAGCTCCCTTCCTCCAATCTACCAGAGGAGGCAGTTGTCAAGCGAAGATACTCAGGAGCATAGTTGACACTTGGTTAAGGATACCTACCTGATGTTTGGGTCATGGCCTCAATGTACTCTCTCTCCTTGTTATAATATGTTGAAACATTCTAAAAATTTTCAGAACGAGTTTAATCTTCTAAATATTAGTAAATTGTTATGCTGCCAACTAGCTTCCTGGTGTGCCAATAAACATAAGTGTATGGATAAATATATATGGAGAAGTGTTCTTGGGCAGATGCTTAATCACACTGGGAAATGGAGATAATAATAGTATCTGTCATATGAAGCCTGATAGTGGGATTAAGTGAGTGAAAGCCGTTATCACAGTGCCCAGTGCTTAACAGGTTGCTTAGCAAACCAGACATTAAAAATACTGTATAGGAAGGCGTCTTTGTTCTAACTCGTTTGCAGTGAGATAGAGGGAATGGGCTCAGGAGTTCCTGTTATTGGATCTAGCCAATATCTGAAAGGTACAGGTAGGTGTTATTTGTTCATCCATATATTTGTTGAAGAAGAAGATGAAAACCAATGCCAATTACATGACTTGTTCAAGACTCAACTCTAACTCTAGGTCATAGGTTATTTGCAAGCACTTGGTTAAACAATTTGGAGCACAACCATGGAGATTTAAAATAACCTGGCAGCTGTGAGGAGTAGGTTGGAAGGGGATGCACTTATCCTGACACTAGTACTATTTAATTTTCTTCTGCATGGCGAATTCCATTGAGTTCCTTCTCTGTCCAACATGGTATTAAGACATCCTTGGGACAGTTCCAGTGGGAAGCAGGAATGGTCTCTACCCTTCACTTTTTGATATTCAGTGTGACTTCCACTTACAGATGACTCAGTTACAATTGCTCTGTGGGTTTGTGTACTTGTTAAAAAGGGTGTGGTTAATTCCACCCTGATTTCATCTCCCCATATTCCATTGAAGAACAATTTTTTAAATTTTATTTTTATTTATTTTTTTTACATCATTTTTCATTTTGTGCATTTTCTCATTTCTGTTGGAAGAACATTTTCTTTATTCAGATAATACACTCAAGAAACTAAAACAAGGACTAATCTTAAACTTTCACTTAAAATAGCCTATTATTATTCTCCAATTCCCTTCTGAATATAGCATGACTCTCCTCTCTGTCGCAGGAGGAAATAAACATAATTCTCCCTATTGCACTAGCAGAGAAACTCACATTTAAAGAGCGCCTTATGTAAGGGAGAGGGAGGGTCTCCCTTGTGGCACGCAGCCACTGCAGCTTGAGTTCGGCCCCTGGCTGGGAGCTCACCCACAGGGCTCAGCAGACTTCTGTTTTGTCTACTGCTCCCCTCAATAGTGGATTTCAGTAGATCCACCTGTTTTACTCTCTACTCTGCCTGCTGAATCCTATCACTCCTTGCATGTCTGGCCTATACCCCAGTTCCTATATGCATAAATAAATAAAATAAATCTTAAAAAAATATGTTGTCTCTTCAACCAGACCCCACCAGTTGCACAGCCTTCTACTGAATCTTGGTCCATTTCTCAGATACAATATACATATGTTATCAATATGCATTATGATACCAATATGTATTAATTTAAAGGTTGTCTTATTCACTTCCTAGAGACTGGAACCTGCTTACTTTTGTATTCCCTCGAGTGTTACATTATGCTTCTGTACAGGAATGTTTTTTAAATGAATATAAGAATAAAATAAGATAGGGTTTGAAAAGTGTCCTTAAAAACAGGTGGCAGACTTGATATCAATGTGTGTCACTTAAAGAGTACTTACTAGTATTCATGCCCCAGCAACCTCATCCCTGCTTGTCATGATGCCTAAAATTCTTCCACTGGGATTTATTCCATCATGTCTGGAAAACCTTTTGCTTTTCAAAAAGCAGTCTAGGCCCTCCCTGGTGGTGCAGCGGATTAGGATGCAGCACTGCAGGCTAGCGAGTCAGATCCCCGGCCCTAGAGGTGACCCACATGGCACGGCAGACCTCTCCTGGACCTCCCGCTGCTCCCCTCAGCAGTGTACTTTGTCAGTCAACCTGTTCTGCTGCCCACTCTGTCTCTAGTGAATCTTCTCACCACCCCTGCACCTCTTGCATGTACCCCAGTTCTGTATGTATAAATAAATACATCTTTAATAATAATAACAATAATTATAATAATAAAACAGTCTAGTAAAACAGATGGACACAGGAGTTCTGGCAAAACCTTGTCTGGTTGTTACTCTTCTTTCTGCAGCACCACAAAGAAAGGGGAGAAGCCTGTAGCCTGGAGGGTGAAGGAGAGGCAGGGAACTCTCTCTCCCCAGAGGAGAGGGGAGATGTGGAGCAGAAGAGAAGGCAGAGAGCCCCACGGGGAGCCGCCTCCTGGGGTCCATTTTTTAGCATGGGGTTATCACTGCTCCTCACTGAATCTTTGCATAGGTTTATTTTGCAGGAAAAAAGCAGTCGTGTCCTAACTGGATTTTCCAGACTTTGGTTATTACCCTAATTGCTGTGATGGCATTTTGGTAAGAAAAATTTCAATGTTATGCTATGTTAAGCTATTTATCCTGCTTTTCCTCTTTCTTTTCACTTATGAATCAGGGACTGGCCTTATATTAGTTTTGAAGACAAAGACCCTTTAAATATGACCTTTGATTTAGCTTAGAGATGAGGAAGTCCTTTCTTAAGTTCTTATGTTAAGGAAAAGCGTAGGCTCTCTGCTCTTAAATGGGAGAAGGAGGATGGATTTTTTTTTTTGTTCAATGTTATTTTTTTTAACAGCTCACTGTGCCTTTCAGAGGTGTGTGTGTGTGTGTTTAGTCTCACAGATAATGCTCAGATTCTTTTTTCGCCTTCCTTTCTACTTGCTAGGAAAGAATGAGTGGGGAATCAGCTATAATCCACTCTCCCCTGACACTCATACTTATTTAGTATTCTTCTGGATTCTTCTGTGAAGTCCTTAGACCAAAGGAACTGTGAGCTTGCCCCGAGATGGGCATTGTGTTGTCACGCTGTAGCCAGACTGACTACACAGGTAAAACAAGAATACAAGGACACGGTGTCTGCAGCATGAGCAGAGGGGTGCCTTTGCCCACCACGTCTGCTCCCCAGGGGAATGGAGCCGCCCCTGTCTGGCACTTAGACATCTGTCATGGGCTCTGGCTTCAGGCTCCTGCTCTCCTGAGGGCCTCTGCTTTTGAGCCCTGCTTATCTTGCCTGTCTCCTCCAGGTCTTCTTATTTTTAGTCTCCATAGTCCCATCATGAAAGGGAAACTTATCTATCCCTTGAAACATGCTTTGTAGTGTGTGGGAGGGCTGGTCTCTGGGTTTTGTCTCAGGGAGACAGGCCTTCTCTGAAGCAAAATAAAGAACACTCAGGTCTTTCCAGGTTTTTGATCTAGAGCAGTTTCCTATCTAGTGAAGATTGGGGTGGGGGGTATCTCCGTGCCCTTCCTCTTCCCTTAGCACTTTAACTTGTTACTTGTTATGGTCCACCAGGGGCACATGGCCGTGTCACGGGCACCACTACATAGAAGCCCCCCCTGGAAGCCATTGCACGTTCTCACTCTCCTAAGTGAGCTCGTCTCCTGCTGGAATTCCAGCTCAGGCGAGTATGAGCATCTACTTAGCAGGCACTTGGCTTTCTCTAGATGCACAGATTCCCACAAAAGCCCAGTGAAAAAAATGATAGAGAGTCTAATTCTGCTGTGGAGACTGCTTTTAAATGTGCTTATCCATCTTATGCATTCCAGTAGTGTTGACTGCTGTGACCATAACTGGGAGATGTTAGGTTTATTACCTTGTTTCAGACCCTTGCTACAGCTAACAGCAGAACTGGAGTTTGTCCCCAAAGAAAGGAGCAGAGCAGAGGCCCACTTTATTCTATAATCCTAGGAATCTCTGGGCTGTGTGTGCGTTGAAGCAGTCACCAAAAATCTCAAGAGCACCTAAGGGAGAGGGAGAGTAAGGGGTGGAGGGAGACTAGACCACAGCAAGCAGTTGGCAGTGACTTAACGATTTCTGTCCGATGGCATCTTAGGGGCTCAGCACCCCTTTCCCCAGGCAGAATGATGCCAGCTGGGCAGTTACCAGCTCCTGCTGAGAAGATTCTGGGAATTCTTTCTTTATGAATGGAATTCAAATGTGTGACACATTTCTTTGTGTATATTTAATGATGGGAAATTGTGTATATTTAATGATGGGGAACAAACTAATGAGTCCAGAGATCAAGGTGTGAAGTCAGGCTGGTTGGAAGTCAAGTCAGGTCACCTTATGTCAGGCCCAGCACACAGTAGGGTGTGAAGTACCTTGCACTCTTCCTTGTGCAACGTGTAAGCGATTCTAAAGACACCCCAAAAGAAGAATGTTGGTTGTGTGAGCACTGTACAGAAAAGCTTCCAAACCTTGGAAACTTTGAGGAAAATTTCCAATTGGATATAAAATCTCCAATAACCAGGGAGAAAAGATGTACTCATTATTGCAAGTCACATCGTGTGGAAGTAGATGCTGTGTTGCATTTCTTTTCCTTCCTGTCCACTTTAGCGTATTGTCTCTCTGAAGAGATGGGAGAGCTGGAAGATGCTGGAGAAGCAGCCAAAGGGGGATGCATTTGACTGATGATTCCTGTACCATCTTTCATCTCCCAGTGTGACAGTTTCAGTGCCCTTTACCAGTGGGACGTGAACTTGGCTCTGGCTTTTTCCTGTGAGGAGCAGAGGGCTGCCTCCATGCTTCCTTTTGTAATCTTCCACTAGTGACAGTTATTTCTGAGATAGTTTCCCAGGCCAGGGGGCTTCCCTGTGGAAAAATCCATCAGTGTGGAGTACCCCAGAAGCCACTGAGCTCCAGGAAGACAGAACTTTCCTTCCCAGAGCAGAGAAGCATAACTGTGCTGGTTTCTACGGTGATTCTGTCAGCCCAGGCCCTGACTCTCCCCTCTTCCCGCCCCTTCCCAGCCCTGTTCTGTCTGGCCTGCAAGAGCACATCTCTGGCCAGCTGGTTGTGTGAGAGATATCTGGATTCAAGTCTGCCACATAATGCTTTCTTGTTCTTTTTCAACAGTGCCTTGACGATAGTCTCCCTTTATATACTTAGCTTAAAAGACCAAGACCGACGTGCCCCAAATCTACCTTCAAGGTGAAAGTTCTGGCCTTCCTTTCTTTTGGGAGGAGGATTCTTGAGGGACTCCTTCAGTAATCATTTTGTTCTCCTCCTCTAGCAATATCACAAGCTCTCCAGAGCCAACTGCGCGGCCCACAGCCTCCCCCTCAGGTAAAACCTTCATACTCCCCACCTCTACCCAGCCTGTCTTTCCTGTCAGAAGAAGAAACCAGCCTTTCAGGTTCACCTCGTGGCTCCCTCCCACTTCCCCATGTCTTGCAGCACCTACTGTGGCCCTGACAGCCACACAACCCTCCTTCCAAGTACCAGAAATCACTTTCTGTGAGATCCTGCCATGTCAGAAGACTTACTGCTGTTCTGTCTGGGAAACAAGAAGCGTCCTCTCAAGTCCTGTGCAAATTCGTGAGCAAAAACAGTCCAGAGAGAAGGAAATCCATCAGGGACCTATGTCTGGTAAAGGATATTCAAAGAGAACCAACTAGCACTTGAAACTGAGGTTTTTTTTTCCTTGTCAGTATGTTTGTGGATCGTCTGTTAATGGTTCCACTCTTTCATTGGGGTGGCAAGATCTTTAAATACAAATACTTGAACTTGCATTCATCTATAACATTGATCTCCCCGCCCAAGGATGAACTTTCACTTGATTCAGATAAAAGGGTCTCACTTGCTTGTTGCCAAGGATGACAGTAGGAGCACAAGTGAAGTACTTCCATGCAGATGTGTCGACTGTTTTCGCTCACTTAAAACTTACAAAGTGATTTGGTATCTGGGCTCTGTGCCCAAGCCAAGTAGGACAAAATGCAAAAGGCTTTGGGAACTCTAATGAGTTCAGGGTAAATTTTAAGTCAGTTTCACTGACTTTTAGAACATCTTATTCCTTGTAGGGATGTGTATGCCCACACACACACACACACACACACACACACACAGATTACACACACACTGGTACTTTTTATTTATTTATTTATATTTTATAACAGTTTATTTTTACATCATTTTGTACATTTTTTTCCCATCTAGATTGTAATCCCCGTGGGTTTCCCATCACCAAATCACCCATGTGCCACTACCATAGTCCCGTGCATTTCCCTCCCTTCTCCCCTCCCCCGTTTTTGATCCCATTCCCCACTCCACCCCCACAAAATGTCTCTGGTATATGGCTGTTCATTATTCTTGTTATTTTCTCGCCTGGTCCATTATACTCCTGCTATGAGCAAAACCATCCGGTATTTTTCTTTCTCTTTCTGGCTTATCTCACTAAGCATGATCTTTTCCAGCTCCATCCAAGTTGCTGCAAAAGACATGTGTTTCCTTTTGGTTGCTGAGTAATATTCCATTGTATATATGTACCACATCTTTTTAATCCAGTCATCTACTTTTGGGCATTTGGGCTGCTTCCATGTTTTCCCAATTGTAAATCAAGCAGCAATAAACATGGGGGTGCAGGTATCTTTTTGAATCAGTGTTTTTGTGTCTTTTGGGTAGATACCTAGGCACGCTGGTACTTTTTAAATAACAGAATTTTCCTGTTTAAAATATTATGGGAACTCAAGGGCTAAAAATGTGGTTATTTCTGTAAGATCAAATTCAGTGCATACAAATGAACAAGATTTTATTGCTGTTTTTCGAAATCTGTATATACACATATTGACAACTATCTAAAACAATGATGGTGATGATGCTAGTAAGAGCAGTGCATGCATATTGCAGTAGTATGGCTGATGTATTGGGATGCTGTGGTAACAAAAATTACTCCCAAAGCACAATGGCTTCATGTGGCAAAAACTCATTTCTGAATCTCTTTGTATCTCAAAGGTGCGAAAATGAGGCTAAAACAGACTGAAAATCTTTCACATAGGAGTAACAAACACATGTTGCTCTGCTTACAATTTATTTACCTAAGCAAGGGGCAGTGGTCATGCTAATTTAAAAACTCTAGATGAAGTTGAGCCCTAACATGTGCCTGAAAAAGATGAACCAGGATCTCACTGAACAGCTCTCACAAGTCACACCCAGAATATGGCCAGTGATTGATGTTGTGGATAGATGGTCATTTCTTGTTGCTTTTGATATTATTCTATGTCTTAGTCTCAAATAAATAACGTGATAGGCAACCATCCTCATCATGTAATGAGGTATCACGTTATACAAAGCAGCGTGAATAAATCATTGAATTCTTACTAGTCTAAAAGGTCCTGTGATCTCTCTTTTTGGAATGAAGAAAGCGAAGTATCGAGCCTACTACATAGGAGCTACAGGAGGCAATGGCTACACTGCTTTTCTAATAAAGCAATTTGATTAAATTTGGGAACAGAGATATCACAGTGCTGGGAGGAGAAAGAACCATTTGAAGAAAAGAAAAGAATTGTTAAAGTCATCACTGGAATAACCTCCTCCCCCTATACCCATAACCTTCATGTCTTGTGAAATCTCATAGAATCTGATAGCTGGTAAACCCTTCCTTCATTTTGGGAGTGTCCTTTTCTGAGAAGAAATCTTCTTACCTATGAGACATGTATTGATAACAATAGATCCGGTACAGTAAGATTCAGTATGGGCTGGTTTAGTCTTCATTTTCAGAAAGCTTGACATTTGAGCAGCTTTTCACATCAAGGGACTATCAGGAAGAACAATCCCTATCAAACTAGATGAAGTTTGTTCTCTCTTCTCAGGGACAGTGAGTATCTATGCAGCTTGTTTCCATAGTTCTTGGAGTCTGAAATGATTCCTAAGGAAAGGAGGTCAGCTCTGTGGTGCCTAGGTGTGTCCTCTGAGACACAACTCTCAGCTTCTCTGGCTAAAAGGAAAATTTAAGCTCTGTGCTACCAGGCTCCCTGAAACACTGAGAATATTGTCTCCTCCTCTCTCCTTCAACTGGAGAGACAGGGAAAGGACTTCAGTGTTCTGTTTATTTTCACCTTCAGGACATTTGAAAAGGTTTAGGATTGAGAGTCAGAATATCATGGAACAGCTACCTCATTGACACTTTGACGTTTTGACCCTGGGAATCTGTTATTACTTCATTATACTATCTTATTTATTTTTTTTTTTTTGCTTTCTCCCCTCTTAACAAACTTCCACCCTTTCATCAAAGCCTTGTCCTATCTGTGATGTCCTTACCTTTCCCTTATCTATGCATGATATCTTTAAAACCCCAGCTAGGTGTTGTTGGTCTCATCAGGGATGTTTTACCACTTATGTTCAAACAGTACAGCTATGTGGTAGCTATACTGGGCTAAGCACTTTGGTTGGAAACTAGTGTGAACTTCTGATTTGCTATTCAGTAGCTACAGTGTGACCCTGGCCACATTGAAAATTTTTTGAACATTTGGTTTCCTCATTGAAAAAATATGATAAAATTTTATAGATCTTTTTGTTAAAATTAAAGGGGGTAAATAATAAGCTTTAAAAATATTAGTCACACAGGATGTCTTTAAGAAGAAGAGTTGTTACATCATTAACATTGTTTGATGTTTTCATAAAAACTGCTAATTCTGCTTCACAGATCTCCTTTTCTACATTCTACTCTCTTACTTATTTGACTAAAAATATATAGAGAAGGGGAGAATATAACTATAAAGTCAGTTAGCTTTTTAATTGATGTTTTTGATAATCCACAGCAACACTTAAACAAATAGCACAAATTTAGGGAAGAAATATCAGGTGCACAGCCAATACCATAGCCTCTTTTATGCAATCATTTGGGGCTCAGTGTCTCAGGACAAGAGAGCTTTTGATTTCTGTCAGCTCACCTATTTTACAGTTTATGAGAGAGGGCCCAGAACCTTCCTTCAGGTTCTGCAGTGAGTTACTAGAATAGTAGAGCTGGAATCTGTGTCCCCTGTCTTCCTGAGCTCCTTCCCTTGTACCATTTGCTGCCATTTATTTGGGCACAGTGTGTAATGTACACAGGATCAACTCCAGAAGATGCTTGCTAACCTATTGTTCTAGAAAATCCTTTCTGCGCCCCTTTCTCAAGTTTGCCTCTGTCCATTGAGATGTCCCCAGTGTAGGGCATTTTTTATGGTCTGAGGAAAGGGAATTCTCTTTTCCTGCTAGTCTCTTTTTTTTTTTTTTGGTTAAAAATTTATTTATTTATGCATACAGAAACGGGGAATAGGCCAGAGGTGAAGGAGTGGTTAGTGGATTCACAGAGACAGAGTGGGGAGCAGAACTGGCAGACTGATGAAGTACACTGCTGAGGGGAGCATCGGGTGGGTCAGGAGAGGTTTGCCACCATGTGGGTCACCTCCGGGGCAGGCGGGGATCAAACTCATGTGGAAGTAGCTTTAGCTTCTTAGTGTCGTGCTTTAATCTGCTGCGCCACCAGGGATTGCAGACTGCTAGTCTCTTTTTCTTATCTGTCTAGGACACCTAGGGGATTCCTCAGCTTCAAAAAGGGAGGAAGTCAGGTAAATAATCTTTCAACCAGTCGTTCTGAAGGCATCAAATGCCAATTAAATCTTATGGAATACAAGAGAAACTCAGGGGTTAAAAAAACTGGGAAAAACTCTCAGTGGGATAAAGGGAATAGCTAATGATTTACCAAGCCCAGGAGCACATTTATGAGCCTTCTTCCTGAGGAGTAAGACTAGTAAAATAAATGAAGTAAATTACTAGTAAAGTAGGTGAAGGTAAATCAGCGTTTTTATGACACTCTGAGCTTGGCTGTTATTCTTTTGAGCCTAATTTGATTGTCTAAAATGTCTTTCAGAAAGGTTAAAACATCTCCCACTCTCCCCACCCCCAACCTCCCACACACACTTAACAAAAAGGTTGTGTAGTACTGAGCAGCAAGTGGAAGGTAAATATTTAGGAATATTGAGCTTCCCCTCTGAGGAGTGAGCTGAATGTCAAGGATTAGATTTTAATCTGTGGAACCAATAAAGATTTACTCGGACAGCCAAGTTAGATATTAAAAAGAGACTATGGGGGAAAGCTGATGGAATTTTATGGATTTTTAAGTGATTTGGTAAAGAATATTTTAAATCTCACAAAGCAAAAATGGATCTGGAATTCATGCTTATTTTGTTTGGAGACCAGAACTCTGGGAGGACAAATGACCAGAAGAAAATGGCTCCCAAGTATGAGAGGACTCAGTCATTGACTACGCACCATAGCTTTTTTCTTGGTTGTCAGGAAAGAAAAAAGTGTCCAAAAGGCTGTCCTTGAACTCAGTCACCAACCACCATTACAGTTACACGCAACTCAATACACATGTTCTGCTCTAATGAGATAGGGTCTGGCTGGACATCATATTAAATCTCTCCTCCCCAGAAGTTTCTCATTTGGTTTACTGGGAGATCTCACCCAGTAAAGCTGGAGACAGCTTTACAATGAAGACAACTGGAAATGTGGGTTAGTTTCTAGTGAATATTGTGGGAAGCTATTCATAAAATGAGAGTCACCTCTGTATGACTACAAGAGAATTTATGATTTTCCAATCACCAGCCTTTCAGAATTGAATAGTTTTGCTTCAGAAAATGACAAATTGGAATATTTTATTATTACTTTTTTTTTTTTTAAATCCCTGACATCCCATCCCCATCAGTAGCTAAATCCTGTCTCAGGGGTCTTTGTCTCCAGGAATCTGAATGCTGCTTCTGTGGAAGGGACACAGATCTATAGTTCTGCAGAATTTATAATGAGCTTTTCTTACATATTCGACAATATAGTAGAATAAAAGTTATGGGAAGAAAACAGACAAGATAAAAAGTCTGGTTTCTTCTTCTCTTCATGTCTCATTTGCCTTGTAAATTCCCAGCCTTCTGTGAAAGCAGTTGTAAGCAAAAGTTGTGCAGGAGACATGTGCTTGAAAACTATTATTGGAATAGCTAGAACCCAAGACATCTGGGGGCCTTTTAGAGAGCACATATATTTATAGGTAAAGGAAGCTATTAAATTTTTAGACAATTTCATAGCTCAAGATCCACTTCTTCCATTGTTTTAGGCGGGATGCTCAGAAGAATTACTTCAGTTTCATGTTCTGTGTCACTCCTGTTTGTGCATAGGATGAAGGAAACTAGCTTCCACATCCATTCCCAGCATTCCCTGCACCCATCTCCTGGGAAGCTTCCCCTTGAGTGTATAAGAGGAAATACTTCTCTAGAAGCTGTCTTTCCTCTTATTTTTCTGCCTCTATTCCTTCCATCTTTCCACAAATCTTTATGGAACACTCACAGTGAGTGTTACCTGGCCATATGACCATGAAGATAACAACTATGAACCTGATGCAGGTTCTCACAGGCAGGTGCATGGGCAAATCAGTGGTCCTTCCGTAGGGTGTGGGAAACAGGACAGAGATACCTAGGAGTGATTGCCCCAAGTGAAGTGCGGAGTGATTGCCCCAAGTAAAGTGCACTGGGCTTTTGTTTTATATCCTGAAATCCCACACAGAAACTTGAACATAAATCTAAGTCTGCAAAATGAATATAAACATGACTGCAACATTTGAAAACTTCTTTTTAAGGTTTGTTTAGAAACCTAATAACCTACTTAAAAAAAAAGATGTATTTATTTACGCATACAAGAACCTGGGTACAGGCCAGTCATGGGAGTGAGGGGTGAGAGGATTCACCAGAGACAGAGTGAGGAGCAGAACAGACAGACTGACTGAGACACACTGAGGGGAGCATGGATTGGTCAGGAGAAGTCTGCCAGGCCATGTGGTTCAGCTCCCTGGTCGGGAATCGAACTTATGCCGCAGTGACTGCGGATAGCTTCACTGTGCTGTGCTTTAACCCGTTGCACCACCAGGGAGGGCCCCATGTTTAGTGTTTTGAGGGACCTCCACACGGCTTTCCATAGTAACGGGGCCAGTTTATATTCCAGATGTCTACTTTCTTACTGTGTCCTTGCCAGATCTTTCTCCCTTGACTCATGCCCCTAGTGTCTCTCCCTGTGTTCCAATGTCTCCTTTGCATAAGGAGACCAGTCAGATTGGATTAGGGAGCACCCTAACAGCCTCATTTTAATATGCTATTTTAACAGTCCTATACTCAGATGGTTACATCCTGATGGGTAAGGGCTTCTTTGTAAGAATTTGGGGGTTTATAAAACTCAGACCTAAACAGGTATCTTGGAAAAGAGTGAGAATAAACTTGATCTGACAAAAACAGGATAGGGGTTGAGTGGGTCAGGTGTTGGGGAAACATTCAGTAGACAGAGATAAACTCAGGCTCCCACTGGGTTTCTTTTCATGCTGTTCCACCCAGTAAGACTGACACACATTTTCCCCCTTCAGGAGATAGAAACACATCGTTCCTGGCAAGAGATGTGCTAAGCAGTCCTGACTGGGCGAGTGACTGTAAGTTGATATTAGTTGATATTTCTTTTTTTTTTTTTTAAGATTTTATTTATTCATACAGAACTGGGGTATAGGCCAGAGGTACAGGGGCGGTGAGAGGATTCACCAGAAACAGAGTGGGGAGCAGAATAGGCCGACTGATGAAGTACACTGCTGAGGGGAGCAGTGGGCGGGTCAGGAGAGGTCTGCCGTGCCATGTGGGTCACCTCCGGGGGGGGCAGGGATTGAACTCATGCTGAAGTGGCTTTAGCTTCTTAGTGCTGTGCTTTAACCCACTGCACCACCAAGGAGGGTCCTGTAAGTTGATATTTCATTGACCCTCTTTGACTTAGTGGGGCTTGGCAGAGTAACAGCAGCCTAGAAAAGCATTATCTGGAGTGAGGAATGAGAACCAAAGCTACACCCTGTCAGAAATACCCAGAGGATCTCATGTTTGATACTGATGATGGAGTACCTTCACTACGAGGGAGGCACTGGGAATGGCAGCTCACTACTCGGCTATTTGTGATTGATCTCCATGGGTTTTAATAATTTATGTAGCTTTCTGTGTCCTCTTCTATTCTGACTGTATTTCTTTTTTTTTTTTTTTTCTGGCTTTTAAAAGTCTTTTTTTATTAGCCAGATTGCATGTTGCTTTGCATTCTCCAATTTAGTAGGACTTCCATGCTTCAGAAATTCTTTTGGATATTATGGGGTTCTTGTATTGGTGTCTGGGCTTTTATTCACTTTCTTAAAATTTACTGTAACGAGAAAAGGGTCTCCTCCTTTTTCCATTTGAATGCAAATTGAACCCATTTATCTAGAATGTTCTTATTTCACACTCTGTAATTTAGAAGACTCTCCTGGAGCACAATATTCTTCCCTCCTCAGAAGAGTTTACTTTTTTATTTCTATTTCTCCTCAATTCAGGGATTGATACAAGCATTAGTTCGATTCGGATTATGGAAATCCAGCAAGTCATAGATCATCGGTATTGCAGTAGAAGCCTCCAGTGCGGGTAGGTAAGCCTCCCTCAGAATATACCCAGATTGCGGGATTTTTTAAACTTGGGATGAAAGCTAGAGAGCTGCTTGGTAAAAGCAATGTGTTCTTACATTGCTCCTTAAGTGAAAAAACACATTAGTTATGTGGTGGACAAGAAAATCATGAAACTGTTGGTATTAACAAATATCAATAAACCACGGCTGGCACCGTTCCTGTCTCCCGGCTTAATGGATGGTCCAAAGCAAAAAGCTTAGGGGGCAGCTCAGAGGCTTACTCCTGAGGACACGTGTTATGGGCACAGAGCTGCTGGTTAATTTTTTTTAAATAACATAATAATTATTCTTACATCATTTTGCGCATGTTTTCATCTCAGTTGTAATCCCCGTGGGCTTCCCATCACCAAATCACCCATGTGCCATCACCATAGTCCTGTGCAATTTCTTCCCTGCACTGTGTTTGATCCCATTCCCTACTCCACTCCCATCAGATGTCTCTGGTATATGGCTGTTCATTATTAATTACTATTTTCTCACCTGGTCCATTATACTCCTGTTATGAGTGAAACCATCCGGTATTTTTCTTTCTCTTTCTGGTTTATCTCACTAATCATGATCTTTTCCAGCTCCATCCATGTTGCTGCAAAAGACATGTGTTTCTTTCTTCTTTTTTTGTTGCTGAGTAATATTCCCTTGTGTATATGTACCACATCTTTTTAATCCAGTCTTCCACTTTTGGGCATTTGGGCTGTTTCCATGTCTTTCCAACTGTAAATAAGGCAGCAGTAAACATGGGGGTGCAGGTATCTTTTTGAATCAGTGTTTTTGTGTCTTTTGAGTAGATACCTAGGAGTGGGATTGCTGGGTCATAGGGAAGGTCCATGTTTAGCAGTTTGAGGAGCCTCCAAACAGGTTTCCATAGTGGTTGTACTCGTTTGCATTCCCACCTAGCTGCTGGTTAATTATATAGACAAGACATTCTTACTGATGGTTCCAAGTTACTCACGAGCTGACATTTGTATATTTTAGTAACAAGGGATGTCATCATTTTCATTACTGCAAAAATCTAGCTGATCTTAGCTTTTTCACTTAGGAAGGGGAAAATTCAGGTATTGCAAATGTTACTAACACCCTTCTCTAGTGTATGCTGTAGTTCCCACATGATGGTAATGATGCATCCCGAAGCGCAGCACGAAGGAGCTTCTGCAAGCACAGCATGCAAGCTGCAGGCACTGCGGCTGGGCAGTTATTCTTATTTATTTGATAACTATTTACAGGTACCTGCTAGGTACCTGTCTATTTTGAAGTGGTGCTCTTCATTTTATGGATTCTTTTATCTTTTTTTACCTGATATAACTTAGATTTCAAGTTGATGGTCCTTCATGGTGCTTTATAATTTGTTTAAGATCTGTATACTCATTATCTCATTGCACTGTTACAAAATCTCTATGAGGCTGTTATATTTGTTCCCATGTTGTCATTAAGAAACCTGAGATTCAGTGAGCTTGAAAAAGTCAGAGATAGACATCAGTTCAAGTGGCAGAGTGACACAATGAAGAATAAAGTGATTCAGGTTCAAATTCCAGAACTTTGACAACATCTTTCTCCTCCCTGTGTATTCATCGCATGATGAATATAGCCTCCTGGGCTGGGTTGCTTGAAGCACGCCGTTTGGGAGCATGTAGTAACAGATACACTCCATGTGTTCAGGCTTCCTCCAGTCCAGCAGAACTCTCCCCAACCCAGATCAGAGCCATTTCCTTCATTTTGCTTTCACTATTTTAACAACTTTGTTGAAACAGTATTTATTAAAGAGAACCTAAAATGACTGCTTCTTTTCCCCATTTGTCTGGATTTTGGCTCTTTCATCAAGAGACAGCCAGGTCATTAGGAGAGCTTGTAAGGGATGCAACATACCTTTTGTTGGAGTTTTTCATTACAATAGGAATCAAAGGAACACTTGGTTTTCCCAAAGTAAGTCTCATTAAAAAAGTGATGGAGAAAGCATCTGTGTATAAACATTTCTGTCTGACAGTTCTCTCCATTGCTAAATGATAATTAGGATTGAAATAACTTCAATTAATGCAAGCTCCTGAAAATGCATATTTTACTGCTAATGTTGATTAAAAGGGAATGATTTATAATAGAAAAGCTGGTGCTTATTATTTCCAGTCCTTTCCAGAGGGATTGTTAGTTTGATGACTTCACCCAATTTGTCACCAATTTGTCCTCTAAAATATATATCTCTTAAGGGGAACTATAGTTATCTTCCATATATTTGGTGGTGTGTACTTGGTGTGGGATTTGACTTTCTACCATTTCATCTCCATGTTCGAAAACACTGTAATTGTTGTGGCATAGTTTCACCTTAAAGACATCATTCTGAAATTTGCCAGGTAGGTCTTTGATATACTTAAATCTACACTCTGTTAAACTTGGCTTTTTGTATTAATTATTTATTGTAGAATATTTCACTTTACAGAGTATATAATGATAGCAAAAATTCTTGCATGCTTTGATTTGTGATTTTGTTTTTTCTGCATAACTAGGTCTGGAAATTACAATTACAATATTCCTGTCAATAAGCATACACCCACCAATGTCAAATTCTCTCTGGAAATCAAGTAAGTGTATAGCTGTAAAAACTCATTATTATCATTATTTGAATAGTAAGTCTAAATTTACTTCTCAAATTAATCAGTAAGTTAGGAGGTAGAAAGTGTCCTGCCGGTGTGAACTGATGATGGCTTGAGAGGTGGGTCAGCGAGGGAGGGGGGTCTTCAGTGGTGGTCCCGGCTCCCTCCACCAGGATGGAGAGCTGCCTGCCCTGCACAGGGGCATTGACTTTGGCTTCTTGCTAGCACCCAGCACTCTTGGCTATGTCCCTTTGTGAGGGAGGGGCAGAAATGAAATAGCTTGGCTCCTGACTGGGCAGGCTGCACATGTTTGTGAGCTCTGGGAGGCAATGCTAATACAGATACTACCTCCAGTCCCCAGAGGCAGGGGAAAAGGGGGTCAGAACTTAGAACTGGGCAGAACAGGGTTCCCATTTTGTCTTTGTCACTTATTCTGCGATCTTGGAAAAACCAGTTATCTTCTCTGAGCTTTTATTTATTTTTCTGTAAAATACATTTATGAGGGCTCTCCCTGGTGGTGCAGCAGGTTAAGGTACCACATTATGAAGCTCTCTGAAGCCACGGCGGCACAAGTTCTATCCCCGGCCAGGGAGCTGACCTACATGGTGCAGCAGACTTCTCCTGACCCGCCCGCTGCTCCCCTCAGCAGTGTACTTAGTCAGTCTGCCTGTTTTGCTCCCCACTCTGTCTCTGGTGAATCCTCTCACCCACCAAGTCCTCTTACCCACCGCACCTCTGGGTCTGTAGCCCCAATTCTGTAAGCACAAATGAATAAATCTTAAAAAAAAAGTTTATGATATCAAAACATGTAAATCTGTGGTGGTATTCACTGTTACTAATGGTGAAACTAAGAACTACTGGCTGCTGAGCACAGCCTATATTCAGACACTGTACATGTCAACACTGGGTCATACAGCCCCCATAACGGCCCCCCAAAGTTGGTATATTTTGCAGTCTTTTTCAGATGGGAACATCCAAGTTTAGAGAGGTCAAAAAACCTGTCCCCAAAATCACGGCTAGCAAGTGGTAGAGCTGGCAGCCCATTCACTCAGCCGTCACGTGATAGAGAGATGAGAGATGGAACATGGACCCTGCCTGGCATGTAGTGGTCACTGTTATGATCATGCATAACACAGGGCCTTCCTCCATAATCACAGGGACCTAATTTACTTTTGTCAAATATTTTCTTAAAAGATTTATTATTTATGTATACAGAACTGGGGTATAGCCAGAGGTGCAGGGGCAGTGAGAGGATTCACCAGAGACAGAGTGAGGAGCAGAACAGGCAGATTGATGAAGTACACTGCTGAAGGGAGCAGTGGGCGGGTCAGGAGAGGTTTGTGGTGCCATGTGGGTCACCTCTGGAGCAGGGATCGAACTCATGCCGACATGGCTTTAGCTTCTTAGTGCTGTGCTTTAACCTGCTGCGCCACCAGGGAGGGACCACTTTTGTCTAATATTTTAAGTAATTATGGTATTTTAAGAGCTGTAATCCACTTCACTCAAAAATTATGTAATGAGTGACTCACCCTGAAGAGAGGTGGATTTTATTTCACATCTCTTGCTTTTACTCTCCTTTCTCCCTTTCTTTCCCTTTGTCTATCCTCCCTTTCTGCCCCCAGCTCTGTTACTCCTCCTCCATCATTTTCCCTCTGATCTCTCTCTCCCTCCTTCAGTGAAACTTCCTATTTCTTATCTCATCAACTTTGCCTCTCCAATGAGTTAATGACACTCAGCCTTATTGTTGCCTTAGGAAGGTTTTTTTTTTTTTTCTTCTCAAGCAGCTACTGTTTTACAATTCAGAACCCACCATATTCCAAGGCAGTGCAAAGGCTAAGTGTTCTATTCTGCATGCTAAATATACTACTCTCCAGCAGTCACTGGAATAGCATCATTTATTTCTGCTGTTGATGGACAGGAATAAGCTTAAATGGCCTATCCCCTGAAGTGGTAGAACTGCATCTTGAGTCGCTAGATCAGTCCTTTTAAGAGCCACTTTTTAATATTGGTAATTTAAAAATAACATGTATACTCAACTGAGATTGTAGGTTGTCCTATTTGTGCAAAACATAGCTTCTAAAGACAGATGGAACTCATCCTCCTGATGATTAATGAGTCAGCCTCCAGAGACAAACCATTCTTTCTGACTGGACCTTCCATTTTGGTAGCTTTGTAGGCTGTAATTGCTAATTGGGCTCCCTCCCAAATCCCTACCTGTTTGCCTTGCTGCTTCAAACACTATTTATCCAGGCCAGGAGTTGTAGAATTTGAAATTTAGTTCATAACAATAGTCATCTGAGACTGAGATTCTTTCTGTGATGATGAGTGCAAGCTAACATATTGGTATCTTTGGATAATAAATTCCTATTTAGAAGTTTGAATTTTCCAGTCACATTCCCATTAGTGCTCTCCTTATTAAGGTAGATAGATAGTCAAGGAGATTGCAACTGCTTTTCCATTTTCTCTCTCTATCTCTTGAAGCACAACAGAGCCATTGATAGTCTTCCAGTGCAAATTCAGCCTCGGAAATATATGTTTCCATAATAAAAGGGGGGCCAGAGTGATGCAGAGCCATGAAGAAGTGTCCCAGGAGATGACGCAGGTAACGTTTTCTGGCTCCTCACCCCATCCTAAAGAACTGTATCTGGAATTGTGGTGCAGCCTCTGTGCTTAGTAAGAGAGAACTGGCGAGAAGGCCTTGCTGGCTGGCTATGGGCACAGGGCTCTGCTTGGCATCTTTTGTGTGTCCTTCAGAAGCTGCAGACTATTCTAGAGACCCCTATTCAAAGCTGTCACCGGTCTGTCTCCCACAGCAGTCAAGGAAATGCTATCTCAGCCTCTGTTCTCTCTATGTGAGTGTCAAATGTGGTCATGAAAAGGTTCTCTCTTTCATCCATTATTTAGGGGTACCAGCACATTTGGAGCCTGGCTGTCGCCCCATTCTTCGATAGTGCATATCATTTCCGTGTAGCTGCACCGGTAAATTTTCTTTAAATTTTTTTTCAATTTATTTTTACTTTTAGTGACAAAGAAATGGGTGATTAAATAGGAAAAACACTTAGCTACATTCTTACATTGTTTTCTTTTCTTCTCCTGTTCTGACAGGATTTAGCTGACTGTTCAACCGACCCTTATTTTGCCGGGATATTCTTTACGGATTATTTCTTTTACTTCTACCGACGCTGCACCTAATTTATTCACATTTGGTTGAGGACTTTACCCAAGAAAAGTACTCAGAAATATAGTTAACAGGAATGTATTACTTCTTGCAACTTCTGTCTTCTTCTGTACAACATTTACATTTTTGCCAAAGGAGTTTTTGAGGATTTAACTTCCAAGAGTTTTAAGGCATTAGTGAGGAGAATAAAGTATGTGCTGAAACTTGAGGTAATGTGGTGTTTGATTTTGCCATGACAATGAAGAAGATATTTCCTTGAACTAACAGCACCACAGGATTTGAAAATACTGATTCTAATATAAAGGAAAATAAAAATAGGCAGGTTTAATTTTTATTTATCTTACTGTATTTCAAAGCTTTTTTTTTTAAAAAAAGATTTATTTATTTATGCATACAGAACTGGGGTACAGGCCAGGGCTGATGAGAGGATTCACCATAGTCAGACAGGGGAGCAGATCAGGCAGATTGATGAAATACACTGTTGAGGGAAGCAGCAGGTGGGTTGGGAGAGGTCAGCTGTGCCATGTGGGTCACCTCCAGGGTGGGAATTGAATTCACACCAAAGTAACTGCAGCCAGTGCACTTTAACATGCTGCATAAACAGGGAGGGCCTGTATTTCAAAGCTTTAAAAAAAAAAGGGGGGGGGCTCCATGGTGGTGCAGGGGTTGAAGTCTCAGCACTATCAAGCTATTGCTATACTTGCTATACTACAGCCTGAGTTCCATCCCAGGCCAGGAAGCTGACACACACAGGATACAACAGAGCTCTCCTGTCTTGTCTGCTGCTCCCCTCAGCAGTGGATTTCAATAGATCCACCTGTTCAAATCCCCTCTCTGTCTCTGGTGAATTGCCTCCCCACCTGTACCTCTGGCCTACACTGCAGTTCTTATGTGCATAAATAAAACTTTTTTTTTTTTTAATAAGCCCCACTACAGTCACATGAATTTGGACCTACTAAATGTAGACTCTTAAGAATGTATGATATGGGCATGGAGATTTGTGTCTGATGCTGAATTCACATGTAGACAGTCTATTACTGTGCGTTAGGTCCCACAGACACTTGAGGACAGTTGTAGCTGCAGGAACAAGTTGGTTTCTTTAGAGTGAGAAGGTAATAGGAGTCCAAAAAACAGGCATGTTCATTAATTACAGTTTTTAGTTTAGTAAGAGCAATTCACATATGGAAGTCCTCAGTGCTAAAGCTGATAGACTTCCAGGTTGGGTGGAGCAGGGTCCAACCCTGCTACCCTGCTGGTAGGGGTCATCTTGTCCTAGGCTTAGTATGTCTGATCATTCGTAGATAAGGCTAATGGCACCAGATATCCAGGAGGACAAGCCGCGTGCGTCTTTATTCTACAAATCAACAGAGAGATAAGTGTGGATCATGGGTACAAGTGAAAACATGTGAAAGAAACAATGGGAAAACCGGAAACTGGCTGTCTTTCCAGGGATGGTAATTACCGATCAAGAGGGCGTTGATATAAGATGGAGTCACTTTTTTTCCCCTTCAGTACAAAATACAGCTTATTAAGAGAAATACCAACTTTATTTATTTTTTTAAAGATTTATTTATTTGTGCATACAGAACTGGGGTACAGGCCAGAGGTTCTGGGCTGGTGAGAGGTGTCACCAGAGACAGAGTGGGGAGCAGAACAGGATGACTTGACGAAGTGCTGAGGGGAGCAGCGGGCGGGTCAGGAGAGGTCTGCACACCATGTAGGTCACCTCAGGGCAGGTTGGGATCGAACTCATGCTGAAGTGGCTTTAGCTTCTCAGTGCTGTTCTTTAGCCGCCTGCACCACGAGGGAGGGCCCACAACCTTATTTTGATGGACACTAAGCCCTGTTGTTGGGATCCTGCGAAGCACTAACTTGTGATAAATCTTCCAAGGTGGCCCAGGTAATTTAGACCCAGAGATTTGCATTGGTTTGCCAGTTGTTACTGACTTTGTATTGTGTTTGTTTGTTTTGTTTTGTATTTTTATTTTTCCTCTAGACGTGAGGGGCATTCTCTTACAGGACATTAAATAAACATTGTCTCTACTGTTTACTGCTGATTAAGTTTTGGATGCTTCTACCTGGCTGGTTTATATGCCATTCCCAAATTAGAGTGGCCAGAAAGCCTCCAGCTGGAATGTATCGAGCATGTCTTTTAGTCTCTGTATTCCAATGTTTTGACAACTTGTGGTTTTGCTGACCCTGGAAGAACTGTACCTCCCAAGGTTTGGCGGTTCCTAAAGATAGTAAGCAATTTACCTGTGAGTGCTTTTAAAAGACAAACCAATCAATACAGAACCCAAACCCAACAGCCTCCTTTAACATGTCCTCACTTTCCTGGCCATTATCTACCTTCCCTAACACCTGTGAGCCAACTGAGTAGCTGAATTTATTTAGAGTAATCCCAAACTTGCCTACCTACTTACTCTGGCTTGCTTGTTCCTCCCTACAGAAGCCACAACAAAGACTCTTGCCCACTGTCCCTTCCCCTCTACCTCCTAGTCCACCCTAATATTTCCCAGTGTGTCCCCCACAGCACAACATACCCCTTCTTGGTGATGCAGCGAACATAGGAGTGCATATATCCCTTCAAATTCGTGTTTTGGCTTTCTCTGGGTTGATATCTAGGAGTGGCATTGCTGGATCATTTCCAAGATCTCTCTTTTTTAAATTAATATATATTTTACATCTTTGTTCTCTCTCTCTTTTAACACTGCATAGATCTATTTTTAATATTTTGAGGAACCTACTGGTTTTCCACAGAGGCTAAACCAATCTACATTCCCACCAGCAGTGAATGAGTGTACTGGACAAAACTGTCTTTGCAGTGGTGATCATCACCTGATTTGTTGGTCATTTTATACCCCAAATTTTCTGTTAATATACTAGATTGTAGAGTATGGAGATTCAAGTCACTCTAGTTGTAAGTAACAGGATTATTGAATGGCTGGCCTTTGCTTGTCTTACTCTTGACCCACGTGATACTTTACAAATGCAAGCTACCTTTTGAGGACCTTTTAACCATTTTCCTATTTTTGCATAAAACCACAGGACAGAATAATCAAGTAGCAATTTTTGTTGTTGCTGGCCTTGCTGGAGTACTCCATACAGATCAGAGCGAACCATCGATGTCCAGTTCACACAGGCTTCAGGAGCAACTTTGGTTTCAGCAGACTCAATCTGGAGTTTCCTCTTCTCGAGGTTACCAGGACTTTTTATTTTCTAGAGATCTGACTATACAATTGAGGCTTCTAGATGGGGATGGGGAAAGAGATCACAAAGTGGGAGGTACCCAGTGGACTATGTGGTGAAGTTAGGATGCCTTGGTGGTAGGGTGTGGTGTGGTTACATACAAAAAAAAAAAAAAAAAAGGGTAGTGGCTATTTGCCACTAAAGAACCATGTGATTAGAGAGATAGGTACTTCTAGTCCCAATCCCCAGACCTCTGAGAACAGAAGAAGAGCTGCAGGTTGAGTTCAACCACCAGTGGTCAGAGATTTAATCAACAATGCTAATGCTAATGAAACCTCCATAAAGATCCAAAGGCCTGGGTTTGGATTGCTTCCAGGTTAGTAAACACATGGAGAGCTGGCGAGAGTGGGCGGTCCTCAAAAAAAGCATGGGAACTCAGCACCCTTTCTTCACACCTTGCTTTATGCATCTCTTTGGCTGCTCCTGGTCTATCCACTGTTATAATAAGCTGGCAATCTAATAAGTAAATATCTCAGAAGCCTAAGTGATAACTATGGGCATTTGAAGTGTGTGTGTTCTCAATTGCAATATCAAATTCTTAGTGAGTGATAGCAACTGGCTTATCACTCCCATGTCTCGTGTCCTAGAAATAGTGCTACAGCTCATGCTTTGCAGCCCAAGAAAAATGGACGTACTGAGCACTTGAGCTACATGCCCAAGGAGCTCTTGGAGGATCATGCTTATGGAGGTAACAGTGGTGTGGCCATGTGTGCTTTGTGCAAATGTGGCTTGCAGTCAGTACACTTCTAATTAGTGGAAAGTGTATCAAGCTGTGAGGCTTCATGTTTCAATCCTAGCCAGTGGTTTCATTTTCTTAACTGTGCTGTGGTCTGCGCTTGGACCAAAATGTCTGGGTGACTCCAGAGGCCTGGAACCAGCTAGCTCTGTTTCCTTGTTACTCGTGTTCATTTTACTTTTTTGCTTTATTTACATTGGAAGGCTGAGTGTTCAAGTCATGGAATCTCATGCTATCTCCAGTTAGATAGTCTCAAAATTGCTTTGAGTTGTAGGACACCTGGCTGTTGCTTGATGGTATGGGGCGAAGATTTCCCTCACCCCATTATGAGAATCGGGGTCCCTAAAATCCCTGTTAGCCTGTGAATCAGTTGGATTTTATTTTTTACCTAGTGGTAGTCAGTAGTAATAATGTACCTTTCTCTTCCTTATTTTCAAATATTATTAAGCACGTGCCATGTGGATGGAAGTTTGAGAAACCAACTGTTAAGACATGATCTTTACTGTCACAGAAAACATTTTGAAATACAATATTAGCACAAATGTTATTTAACCTATTGGAAACTGTGACTGTAGAACCAAACTTTTCTTATGCCTTGAATTCAACTCCTGATCTTTTCTGTGTATCTTTAGGCAAGGCACCTCACTTCTGTAAGCCTCAATTTCCTCATCTGTAGAGGACTGTGAGTATCTACAAGAGATAGGATTAAATGAGATAAAGTATGTCAAGCACAGATGGACTTTAAATAAATATAAGCTATTATTGTTATACCACACAGGATAGAATGATTATAAAGATTATAAAAGGATTGAGTAACTGAACACTTACCTACATCAAAGTGTTTTCATCAACTGTCAAAACACTGAAGATAGAATACATGCATGTATATTACAAAATGTTTGTGTTTTTTCTGTACTGTACTTGGACAACTGTTTTCCCTTTTACTAAATGCATAACATTCATTGAAGAATTAAACAAGATAGTTAATTCTCGGGAGTAGTATTTCGGGATTCTTTCAATTTCTTAGTCTCAAACTCAACTTGGTTTTCCTGAGTTGTAGCATCCATCTGGCCTGGCATGCCCTAGGTCTTTATCCGATAGTTGGTACTCATT